CCGTAAACTCTGTGGGTCGCAACCTCTCCCCCCCCCCGGCCAGAAGGGTGGGGAATTTCAAGCCCCTGGGCCTTCCTCCTAAGCGGGTGCGCTGGCCGACACGTGTGGGGCAGGGTGTGGGACTGAGACTCCACCTGCCGGTCCCAGTCACTGACCAGGGAGCCTCAGACCCCTGGGAGGTCACTCGGCCGGCCTTCCAGCCGCATTGCCCCGGGGGGGGGGGGGAGAAGTCCACTTGGGCGCAAACGGGATGTGGAGCAGCCTGGTTCCTGGGCCCAGGACACAACCTGCCCCTGGAGATGCCACCGGACACCAGTGTTCCCTCTGAGCTGAGTTAGTGTGAGCCAGTTCACAGTTCTTTAGCCTTCGGCGCACAGATTTTGGTCTCTGCTCAGGAAGGAGGGCTCCAGAGCAAACTAATTTATATGCAGTAGCCAAATCGCTGGCTCACAACTTTAATGTCAGTAGCTCACAAAGTAGAATTTTTGCTCACAGGACTCCACAGCTTAGAGGGAGCATTGCCTGGCACCTCGAGGTCTTTCCCAGTGGTGGCTCCCCCAAGCCTCAGGACAGCCTCCCTGAGAGAGGAGGAGGAGAAGGAGAAGAAGAGGAGGAGGAGATTGGATTTATACCCCATGGCCCTCCACTACCCAAGGGAGTCTCAGGGCAGCTTTGACAATCTCCTTTCCCTCCCCCTCCCCACAACAGACACCCTGTGAGGTAGGCGGGGCTGAGAGAGCTCTTGACAGAAACTGCTCTTTTTCAAGGACAGCTCTCATCAGAACTACGGCTTGCCCAAGGTCATCCAGCAGGTGCAAGTGGAGGAGGGGGACTCAAACCCGGTTCTCCCAGATCAGAGCCCACGCACTTCACCACCACGCCAAACTAGAGCTGTGTCAGGAGAGGCTGTGAGGCGGGAGGCTGTCTTGAGGCAGGGATGGCTGGAAGCCGAAGGGACCGTTTTGGTTTCCTGGTTTGGGCTGTTTCATGGCGAGTGTTTGTGTCTTTGTTGTTACCCATCTTGGGTCCCCAGTGCTGGGAGGGAGAGTGAGGCAGGCCTGTGAATCTCCTAGACCAATGCAAGGGCAGCTGTTTCCAGATTGGGCCAGCAGCAAACTCTATCGCCATAGCAATGTGTGCATAACGAAGACAGGTTCCCACTAAGCGTGGAGCGAATTATCGAGTTATCGGAAGGGGCGTGGCCCTGAGCAGTTGGTGGGGGGGAGGGGGGGAAGGTGCAGAAAGAGGAGAGGCCCCATCGCACAGACCTCACACCAAGAGGAGACTGAGCCAAATCCTGGGGGGGGGGCGGGGGGGGGGAACCCGCCACCCGGACTGCGAGGGAGGGTGGAGGCGGAGGCGGATTCCCTCCGGCTGGGCTGGCGGCAGGAGCATCGAGCCTCCCCAACGTGGGTGCAAATCGCGGGCAGCTGAGTTCCTGCTCTTGCAGGTTTGAGGACTGCCCTTTGGGATACCCACCCGTGTCGGCAGCAGAAGCCCCTTGGAGACAAAACTGGGCAGCGGCAAGCAAGGGCCTCTTGTCCCCCCCCCCTTTCCGGAAGGAAAAGCCGTGCCCCGCCTGGACGCCCACGGGCAGCTCTCCTCCTCCTCCTCAGCCAGGACTGACAACCAGGGGGCCCCTCTCAGGTGAGTCCGTGTGAGCCAGCTGACAGTCTTACGCACACATTTTTGTCTCCGCTCAGGCAGGAGGGGGCTCCAGAGCAGACTCATTCGTGCCCCAGCCAAATGGCCCGCTCACAGCTTGAATGCCAGTAGCAGCTCACAAAGCAGAGGTTTTGCTCACAAGACTCCACAGCTCAGAGGGAGCCCTGGTGACCAACCACCAGGTGGAGGCCTGGGGAGAGTCCCCCTAATTACACCTGAACTCCAGGCGGCCCCACAGACACGTCCCTCCCTGCCCCAGGGGGTCATGGCCCAGGAAGACTGGGCGTGGGGCTGGCCGGCCCCCCTCCCTGCGTCGACAGCGGGGGGGGGGCGGAAGCGAGCGCTTCCACCCGGCCTGGCTGGGCCGGGCCCCTTGGCTCCGGGCGGCACCTGCTCGCCCGCCCGGCCCGGATGGAGCAGGACGACTCCGGCTGCCCGCCCTCCCCGGCTTGGCAGGCGGCCCCCAGCCGCTGGAATGCGGGAGCGCCTTGCCTGGCCTTCTGCTCCAAGCGCTGCTGCGGGACGCGGGGGGGGGGTTCTGGCTGCCCTGGCTGCCCCCCCCCCCCCCCTAAACA